TTTTCAAAAATGATTATTCCGCATAATATCATCAGTTGTAAGATCGTTCAAAGCGTTAATTCAAATTGACACTAAAAGTAATGAAATGACTGAGAAATATTAAAAATATTTGTATATTGTTCCTATTATATAAACCAGATACCTGATATTAAAATTTTCTTACGACTGTTTGGGAAAATATATAAAAACTAGTTGGTTTGGTATTTAGCCTTAAGGCAAGTTACATGAACTTCCCGATATGTGTAAATAATTGACTTAATCAAAAAAATGTGTAAATAATATACTTCATCAATCCTACTTTAAAAAAACGATAATAATTTTAGTAAAGTTTGACGAATTTTTTAAATTAAACTACTTGTCGTAATGCCGTAATATTACAGTAAGTTCTATAAGACCACCATGTATATCGCCAAAAAAAGTTCCATGAAAATCGGCTTAATTTTTTTTTTCAACAGTTCATTACAAGAAAACGGCTCGGTAGATTTTCACCTAAAACTAATCAGTACCATTCCCAACTAATATCTTCCGAACAGTTTTTGATTTTTTAAAATCGGTTCGGTAGGATGAGCGTAAATGTGGACGAAAATTTAACACTTTTTTTCAACAGTTAATTACAAGAAAACGGCTCGGTAGATTTTCACCTAAAATTAATCAGTACGATTCCCAACTAATATCTTTCGAACAGTTTTTGATTTTTTAAAATCGGTTCGGTAGGATGAGCGTAAATGTGGACGAAAATTTAACACTTTTTTTCAACAGTTAATTACAAGAAAACGGCTCGGTAGATTTTCACCTAAAATTAATCAGTACGATTCCCAACTAATATCTTTCGAACAGTTTTTGATTTTTTAAAATCGGTTCGGTAGGATGAGCGTAAATGTGGACGAAAATTTAACACTTTTTTTCAACAGTTAATTGCAAGAAAACGGCTCGGTAGATTTTCACCTAAAACTAATCAGTATCATTCCCAACTAATATTTTTCGAACAGTTTTTGATTTTTTAAAATCGGTTCGGTAGGATGAGCGTAAATGTGGACGAAAAGTTTAACACTTTTTTCCAAATTACAAAGAAACGGTTCGGCCGATAGTCGCACAAAATTGAGAAACGATAATCCTCATCGAGATACATCAAATACTTTTTAAATATCTGAAATTGGTTCAGGCGTTTTTGAGAAAACGTCGATGAAATTTCTAATTTTGACAAATGCCAAAAAGACCATACAAACTTTGACGAATTTTTAAAGCTGAACCAGTTGTCGTAGGGCCGTAATATTTTAGTATGATCTAGAAGACTATGGTATCTACCGTCAAAAAAATAATCATAAAAATCGTCGAAATTTTTTTTTTAAAAACCTTATTACAAGAAAACGGCCCGGCCGATCTCTACCAAAAACTAATCAGCACGATTCCCAACCAATATCTATCGAATGGTTTTTGAATTTTCGAAATCGATTCAGAATTGCGGGCTAAAACGTGGACGAAAAATTTTTCACTTTTCTGCAATTTACAAAGAAACGGCTCGGCCGATCGCCGCTCAAAACTCAGAAACGATAGTCCTCATAGAGATACATAGAATGGCTTTTAAATTTTTGAAATCGGTCCATCCGTTTTGGAGAAAACGTCGATTTACGGCAAAAAATCTGTTCACACACACACACACACACATACTTTTTCCAAATTTGGTCTCATTCGATTCAGAATGGCTTGAAACGTCGAGAAAACATAAAATTAGCGAATCGGATTTTTTGATGAAAACATAAACTTCTCCTTCGGGAAGTTAATAAAGTTTATAAAAAGAAGAAAAAAAAAATAATTCGTTTGTTCGATATTTTCAAAATGTGCAATCTTTTAAATTCTCTTCTTCAAAATAAAGAATAATCTGTTCAGGTTTTCAAAATTATGCAGCTAAAAAGAAAGTAAAACTGAACCACTGATCGTGCTTTCCTTCGAATGATTAATGATCAAAACACATTATAACTAATTAGAATATGTAATATAATACGTTATATGCAATTTGAATCATATACTATATTAGCATGATTCATGCATCAAAGCAACTATGCGTTTGTACCCGTCTTGAAAGTCACTTAAGGAATTAATTTCAAGAGCAATTCAGAGCACAGCAGTTGATGCCAGATTAAACCGCTCTCTACTCTATATGCACGAAGAAATGTTTAGAACAACGCATACATTCAGAATACAAAATCATCTAATACTATTAATGTTATTTAAATCAGCTTCACAAATAGTAAATATAATTATTGCGCAATAAACACGCGCTATCATGACCATTTTAAACAACAAAAAATTGTACAAAAATATATCTCTATCAAGTTTGACTAGCTGTGATCAGTGTTACATTATGGACATAATATTTATATCTCCAAAAAAATATATTATAAATTTATCCATGGTTGCAATGACAACATGCTCGACTCGCGAAAAAGAAATATCAAGATCGAATTCGGGTACTTTATACATAAAGAAATTAATTATGAATATTCGAGATGGTAAACTAATCAAACCAACTAATCAAACCAACCAACCACAAAAGTATGAAGAATCATTGCAACAAAATTAGTCAAAAAAGGATGTAAACATAAAATACAGTAGAATATGTAATACAAAATAATGTATGTTAAAAGCAAAATAATAAATTTTCAATGAATATGTAGAAGTAATATGAAATATAAAATAAGAGAAATATTGTATGTAGCTAAGTGCTGCATAGAGGCATAATATATGATATTGAATAGGCTATATGTAGATTGAAAGTATTTTTAAAATGTAATATTACTTTTGTAATATTTGAAATAGATTAAATGATTCTGTAACGAATCTGCAATATGCACAAATAAAGATGCTAAATTCAAGCCCCCATTTACTGAGTTGGTATATAAATTACTACTTAATATTTTTTGTAAGTTAATCCGTGTTTATCAATAAGTCATGTAAATTTGTTGATGCTGATGATTAGCACAAAAACTCTAAAATTACGTATCTGTGTCGGAAAATGAATGATATTCATACAAAATAGATAACTAAACTTATTGTGTATCAATTCATTCCATTAAATATATTATTTATCTTCATTGTAATCAATAGTAATCGAAGCATATAGAAAATTTAGTATTCAATTTCCTAAACTTTTCAGAGGTAAAATGACACAAATAATAATGAATAAGTTGAGGGCTTATTAGAAAGTAATCAAATGAAAAGTACGTAAACTTTGAATAATTCATCACCTTTTTGATGATATTATAATTATTATTACAAATGAAAGCCAAATACAAAAGTCGTATCCATAATTTTTACTGGCATAGATATTGATCTCACTGAAACACAAAAATAATTTCAAATGCTTTTTTTCATAAATAAAACGACCAAATATTGCAGCTTCATCAGAAAAAGCAATAAAAATTAAGAAACATATTCTTATATAGACATTAAATAATTTGTGTACAAATAAAATTATAACAATAATATAATAAATATACTATTGTGATAATTATATTATAATGGATGAATTCATTGCATTAAATATATTATTGATCTTCATTGAAAACAATAGTTATCCACAATTAATAAAAATAACGACTAGATTTCACTTAATGCAAAATACGTGTTTAAAATTTTCATTGAAATAGCCTTAAGCCACAAAAATAACGGAAAATACTGCTTTCAGCAATGAAGGAAGTGATCAAAATTAATCATCAAAAAGTAATAATAAAAGTATGTAATAACGTATGAAAATATGTTCATCGACCTTCAACCAATATTAGAATTTTGAAATAATTTGTCTTATTGACTTATTATCGAATTCGAAATTTGACTTATTATCGAATTATTTGTCTTATTATCGAATTCGAAAGTATTATTTACAACTTCTACTGATATAGCACTTAAATCACAAAAATCGTAACCGCATCCATCAAACAGCAATAAAATGCAAGAGTTTCAATGAACAAACATTGAAATAAAATTTCCTTAATTATGATTTTAATTGGAGATTATTTTTTTATTTTCAGGCTGTTAAAGGAATGAGACATGTACCACAATGGCATTGTCTGCGTTACAGAAAATTCGACTTCCAGCTGGTGCGAAGATGTCGAAATCATCGAGGCATCAGAAGATACTGATCTTAAATATCTTCGTATAAAATAAAAACTAAGATCTCATTCGTTAATAATTTAAGATATTAATATTAATAATCGATGTGAAAATAAAATGTCTAAACGTACATATTACGCACACAAAAGAATAAATATTGAAGTACATAATCTCTCATATTGACTTCATTTACTTAAATTTTATATGCAAAAACTACGGAAATTATTTTAGAAAACCGAATGTATATTGTTTATCAAATATGATTTGATTAAGAATTCCAGACAAAAATAGTTATCAATCTTTTAAAAGTTATGTAGTAGACCAATTTTGTATTAAATAAATTTATAGTTATGTAATTAAGCTAAGAAAAATAAGTTCCAATGTAATATTTGTTTAGCTAATTGACTGACTGCTAATTTTAGTATAGATTCTAAACACGTATTATTAATGTACACATGATTATTGTATATGGTAAAATAAATTTATTTATTAATTAATAAATTGTTTTAATTTTTGAATATATTATGTAATGTATTTGAGATTAAAATAAATACGAAGCAACGAAATGATCCAAGAAGATGCAAAAAAAAATTTACAGCAAAAATGCTCTTAATACACAAGCATTTTAGCAAAATAATCAAGATAAACAATAATACTATAATAATAAAATAAAGAAAGAAAAATATATGCCACTTTCAAGATGTAGTACGTATTCAAAATTATTTCATTCGTGAGGTGTTATTTTATTCGAAATGATTTAGTATCATTTTTTGTGAAAATAGATTAATGTGTTGAAAAAAAATCAATACCAATTCTACAAGCATAAACCCAATTCTATCTACCATTCAATAAATAAATATTTTAGATGAAAACCTAATATTACCACTAACCTCTTTAATTGAATTGCTACCAGGCACACCAATCGTACTGTGAATATTTTGAGCAACTGTAGAAACACCAGATCTTCTCTGCATAGCCATCATGGCTCCAAATGCTGTTCCAGGCACATGGGGAGGTTGTTCACTAGTTGTACTGGATGTTGCGTAATCTTCTTCTGTACTGGATTCTAAGCACAGTAATTCCTGAAATTTAAAAGACTTGTTTATTGTTTATCATATTTGGATAGTTTATTTAACAAGATATGTAACATATTCAATCCTTTCACAATACAGTTGTGCCCCACTCACTAATGACCCGACATGGTGCAAACTGTTGCTTCAAAATAAGAGCAAAATTCGACATTCGAGCTTTAAGGGCAAAGCCTGCTTGAGAGGCTTAAAAAAGCGATTTTTTTTTACAAAAATGTCTTCCAGAACTAGCCAAGAATATATTCTAAATATTTCAGAAACAAATTCTTATTATTTTTGGAATTACAGAAAAAATAGTGAGCAAGCGTCAATCATGTATACAAGCGGAACGAAAACAACAACGCGCGATTTCTCAGCAATACCAACATTTCTGCAATAGCATGAATGAATAGGAAAAAGCAATAATTAAATTAATTAATAGTAAGTTTATTTTTAATATTTAAAAAACAAACAAAAACCACAGTACTGAAACTAATTAATGGCATTTGAAGGTATTTATTTACAAAAACCGCATCGAGATACGAGCGATTCGACAAACGAGAGTTTTTACGTAACGAATTAAAATCGTATGTCGGGGTACCACATTCAACTTTAAAATTTTAATATAAAGTAACACTTACCTGATTGCTATCCAGGAAATAAAGTTGGGAGTTCTCTTGCCAGCTAATTTTGTAATTATAAATATTTTGATTTGGCACCCATACGGCGTGCTTAATTTTAGTCAACTGAGATAAATCCTTTGTGTATACAGGGCTACATTCACTAGGTTTAAACACAAATACTAAAAAATAAAAATAATAAGCATTTTTATTTTAAATTACAAAAATAATACAAATGCTGTATATGTTCAAATATGTATTATATATTTATTATATGCATAATACTCACAAGTATTGTCTTCGCTGAAAGCAGCCATATGTGTACTCACTGGATCACCAACTAAAATAGCTACAGAAATATTCACCATCCATAAGGATCTTAAAGACATCACGTCCCATACAACGAGATGAGAAGCATTACATGAGACAAGCTGCAACGAAAACAAGATTTAGCTAGAAATTCTAAATAACTAAAAGTATCATAAAAATTTTATATTAAAGTGAATTTCATAAGAAATCTCACTATTCTTATGATAGTATTTAGTATAATTAACATATTCATTATCAATTACCAAATGCCCCATGTCTCCACAACCAAAAAGAACTTTCTTAACATCACTCTGTGGCCCAACATGTGTTAATGAACATTTCAAGCTAAGATCATCAGGTCTCCAGATGGTAACACATGGTCCAAATCCACAAGCTAATAAAGATCCATCCATTGAAAAGTTAATACAATTAGCCGGAAGATCCTTATGTTTCACAGAACCAACACATTGCCAATGTCTTTTTTCTAAAATATAAATAATGAGTTAAAAACAAAACAACAACAATATAACGATTAAAATTACATACTGTGCATAGGAGTGGATTCCATAAACTTCCATATTTTAAGCAAATTATCTTTCCCAACAGAAGCACAAAGAAATTGTTTACCAATTTCTTGAAATTTAATATCGCAAACACGCCCATTATGTGGATGGTCTATACATGTGTTTAATGAGTATCTACAAAAAAAAATTACTATTTATTATGAAAAACAAATAATAGATGTTAATATGTTATGTAACTCAATCTATTTAATAAGAGCGATAAAATCTAGTTGGATTATTATAAATCTGAATTTTTCAAACTATCAAATAAATAACAACATTTAAATTAAAAACTAATGACTAAAAATAAAAATCTTTATACATTTGTTTAGCTGAATTGTATTCCCAAAATTTTAATCTACTTTCGAAATGTGTAACACTATCGTCTCTGTGCTCAATTGTGGCCATCCAGGTTCTTAAATCGGTGGATTGATCTGATAACACTCCAATAGCTACAAGTACTACTGAAGTATTAATTATATCCAGATTTCTTTCAGCTGTCAATTGATTTTGAAGTGTTATATCAACCTAGAAAAACAAAATGATATTTTGTTGAAACAATAAAAGAATATCTTCATAATAATTGAGATGCTTACCTTATATAATAAACTTTTAGAATGCGTAGAATAAAATTGGACATGCCCTGTTTGGCCATTTAGAACTATGGATTGTGTAGTTGGATCATATACTAAACCGGCTGGAAAAGGTGGTTCAGCATTTGTTTTCGGTACATTCACAGAGTCCTTCAAATCCACATAAACACCCCAAGCAAAGTGCTGAATACATGATATTATTCTATTTTGTGCATCTAAAATTTGAACACCTGAAAAATAAGATTCATGTATTTTCACATGTTATATTACCACACTGTAAAAGTTGTAAATACATTTCCGCTCTAAACTAATTTCCATAAAATCCATTTTAGCCAAGTATAAACTAGACCCACATATTCAACTATTTTTTAATTTAAATTTTATTTACTATTTTTTAAACTATTAAAATAATACCACACTCAAGTTGTGTCAACAGAATATCTGTACTAAGTTACAATGTTTGCTCTAAGAAATGTATTGCACAATAAAATGAAATACGGGTATGAGATAAACATTACATACATTTGAACAACAAATGTATTAAATTATAGATTAATGTAAGCCTAAATTAACATAAACATATCTAATAATATCTAGTTTTAATCCATCATTAAAAGAAATCATAATGAATTGTTTACTATGTAAATAATTAGTAAAGTAAAAAAAAAACAATAAGTAGCACTTACCATTATCCTGAGTGCAAATTGCAACCCTATGATTTTCTGGGCCAACTGCTATATGACAAACACCACCAGGCAAACGGGGAAGAGTACTTCTGTGATTTGGATTATCAACAGTCCATTTAACGAGCACTCGCTCATGACCTCCAGAATAGAAATGACTTCCAGATTTTGTAAAAGCCAAACATGCCACGGGCAATGTATGCCAATGATAAATTGCCTAAAAATAAATTTAGTGAGATAACATAATATAAACGGTTATGAAAAAAATCGTTCAAAATTTAAAGTTTATAAGTACTGAAACCAACAAGTAAAATGAGCAACTTTTTTGGCATTTCTTTATTTATAATATTTTACTTTTGTCAATTAATGAGTTTAAAAACAATCTGGTAAATACAGATCAATGTCTTAATCATAATCTTAATATTGTAGTTTTTACTTATTGCATTAGTGTTGAAATTAACAAATGGACATGCTTTGAATTAGTTAAATTCATTGCTACGTAATTAACCAGATATTTTTTAATAGTCTGGTTTGTATAAAAAGAGACATGTCTCAATATTACCTGTGCACTTCTTTCCTCACAAAGAATGCCTTGCCATAAAATAACTCTGCCAGTTGTCTCACCAGTCAAAACAAAATAGTACTCTGGATGACACTCAACACAAGTGAAGGAACTATTTTCTGATATATATTTTCTAAAAATACATGTGATTAGTTAAAAATAGATTTCCAATTATTATTATAACATGATATACATACAATGAAAGAGATAATTTCATTGACAAATCAATGGTATATAATTTGTTTAATTGCACTATTGATAAAAATTGAGATCCAGGTCGTCCACCAATTGATAATTTGAAGCTTGCTGATTTGAGAGAAACTTCAATCTTTGTCTTCAATGTTCCATTTTGTAAGTTAAAAAGTCCGAAGTGATACTTTTTGCCTTTGTCAATATGTTTCCATGAAATTAAAATTGCACCTTTATCGATAGCAACTAGGTCAAATGTAGATATGCAAAATTTGTTATCAAGTTTGATTTGCTGAAAAAGAAAAAATATATATTATTCAAAATGTTTGACATTCCGTTTATAAATAAAGTTTAGTACTATAACACCAATTATAAGAAAAAAAAATGAAATGGTTAAATTAGGAATATGATACATACAAAAACATGACTAGATTCCTATTCATTCAAAGTAAATACTAAGTAAATACTCAAATAGGACAAAATAAGGGCAATAATGATCATTATATTTATAAATTCCATAATTACAATTTTATTGTGATAAATTCCAGACTTCCATTTCCAAAATCCGACTTCTCCACTTTCAGAACAAGCTATTAACAGTTTTGAATTATAAGGATGAAAATGAACAGCAACAATGTTATCGATGAGCCCCTCATAGTCCCGAAGAAGTTCTCCAGTTTGTACACTGTATGCTCTAACTACATTACCCCATATTACGTAAATAATCCTAATAAGAAATGAATGTATTAATATTTTGAGATTAGATATTATAACTTAATTTACAATACATACTGTCCATTGTCAGAAAATAGCGGTCTGTGATTTATAACACTGCCTCCACCTTTTCGTTTTATAACTAATTCTTCCACAGGTTGATCAGAAGTTATGCAAACCATATTTTTTAATTAATATCCATAAATATTAACGACTAAATGTGTTATTCTAATAACATATTAATAAATCAAATGGTTTGAAAACATGCGTCTATCACACATTTCACGGATTTAACTCTAACCTCAAATACCACATTGAAAATTAAATCTGAAAATATAATTCATAGCCAACTTCACTATTGAGTTCCGTCAATATTTTATACAGGCCTTTTTCCTGTTTATTTCAAAAAGGTTATGTTATTAAATTCTAGTTTGTAATGGTTAAAGACGTATATAAATGTCACTGTTGTTAATTTATTAAGAAATATATTGTAAATAAACCAAATATTCTGAGACGTTAAGATTTTCATTACTCCATAATAAAATGAGCAGTTCACAGAGCACGGACGTGCAAGTCCAAGTACGACTCTTCACCAAACAAGAACAGTGAGCCTATTTTATTCGTTTTTATATTATTAACCCCAATTGTCAATTTTTGCATATGATATTTCCATCCCCAGATATGCTATTCCTGATTCACCATGTTGGATTCCAGTATCTTCTACTATTGAAACTTTAAACAATCTTGTAAATGCAATAATTCTAGAATCACAAAGTGACAGACAACATGTGGATTTCGACTTTCTTATAAATAATGAGTTTTTGAGATTGCCACTTGGTGAGCACTTGCAAGGCAAAGAAATATCTACTGAAGATGTCATTGACGTTGAATATGTTGAGAGACATCCATCTCCTGAACCCCAGGATTGTCTCATGCACGATGATTGGGTGTCATCAGCTCAAACCTTTGGAAAATGGTAACTTTTGTATAAAAGAGATGAACTTCATTGAAAGTCTTGTTTTATTGTCTTTTATTATTTCTTAAGGATATTGACTGGTTGTTACGATGGTACAGTCCACATATGGACAACAAAAGGTACTGAAGTTCTTACAATACCAGCACATGCAGATCCTGTAAAAGCAGTCGCTTGGATATCTGTGAATGACAAGACATCAACATTTGTTAGGTAATACAAACTGCTAACTTTTCAAAATGTTCCATCTTATTTATTTGATCTATTGGCAATGGAATTTTTTCTATTATTTTCTATTTCTTTAGCGTATCACATGATCAAAGCGCACACATTTGGCAATGGAATATATCAGATAATGCTGTTGAATGTGTTGTTGTTTGCAAAGGTCATGAACGTGGATTGGAATGTGTATCGGTCAATAAAGATGGATCTCTAATGGCAACTGGAAGTTGGGATACTTTTCTTAAAATTTGGGGTGCTTGTAAGTGAATAAACTTCAAAATATATTTATTAATTATTATCTAAGGGTATTAAGTTCTGATTCTCAATTTAGCTCTAGAAGACACAGATGCTGGAGAGTCTTCTAGTAAACGTTTGAAGGGTGATAATGGAAAAGTTAGAGTAAGTTAAAAAATAATAATCATTTTAAATAAAATTCTTTTTTTTATATGCATTGAATTTTTAGACACCTCAAATGACTTTACAAGGGCATAAAGAAGCTATATTGTCAGCTCAATGGATCGATACAAATACAATAGCTACAGCTTCATGGGATCATACAATAAAGTTATGGGATGCTGAGTTAGGAGGAATAAAAAGTGAAATTGTGGGAAATAAAGCATTTTTCGATTTGGATCATTCCACTGTTAACAATATGATAATTACATGTTCTGCAGATAGACATGTTAGGCTTTATGATCCACGGTCCAATGGTAAGAAAATAGACAATTTGAAGTGAAGAATATTGCCTATAGTTTAGTGTAATAAAAGTTCTTTTCATTATTCTATGAAAAAAATCAATTTAAATATTGGTCAACATTAATATTCTTATAAAATATAATTATAATGGTTTTCAGAGGGAAGCCTAGTAAAACAAACTTACACATCCCATACACAATGGGTTCAGTCTGTTTGCTGGTCAAAGAATGAAGAACATTTGTTTTTATCCGGTGGATATGATAATCAAGTGAAACTCTGGGATTGCAGAAGGTAAATATTTTAAATAACTAAACTGCAATATACCATTTTAGATATGCTGACAAATAACATTGTACATTTAATTTGTAGCTCCAAAGCACCATTATTTGAACTCTCTGGACATGAAGATAATGTTCTTACTTGTGACTGGTCAAATCCAAAGTACATGGTATCAGGAGGAAAAGACAATACTGTTCGAATATTTAAGTCAAAAAATGCTAATAAGAAAGAATTAGAGAGTTAAATAGAATGAATTAGTAAAAATACTTCTTTTAATATTGTATACTGCCATTACTTTATTTTGTGTGATGTTAGTTATACGTACTCAGATCAAACTAATGACTGCCTCAACTAGTAAAAGAATCATGGTTATTTATAACATTTACACTATATTCAAATACAACTTTCAACTACCTAATATATTATGTTATGCACTGTGCAACCATTAAAATTTTTAGTAATCTATATAAACAAACATATAAATGATAGTTCAAAAATGCAATATGATTTTTAATCCAAATCATAAAGTTCTAAGGTTCACATTACAGCCTATCCTAAAATCTATCGTGGCATTGGCATGGCGGATCCAGGTCCTAATAAGACCTGTAAAAGAAATATTTATTAGAACACATTCTTCATAAAAAAAAGGAATCGATTATATTTATATTCACTTCAATCAAATTTCATCTTGCAAATTGAAAATTCTCTTTAAACTTCAATGCTTAAATCTTTAGCATTATAAATTCATATGAATCTTTTAGGGAAAGTGAGGGCTTGTAAAGTGGGGAGAGGGAATCGAGTAAGATATCATATATATTTATTTTTTACAAAGATTTTCAAAAATTGTATGATTTTTGTAGGCACTACAAAAATAAACATAATGTTGATTGTGGGAAAGGGCGCAGCTTTAAATATCAACATATTACCAATGAGGAGTAGGGGCTGAAAAATCAACCCATAATTAATGAATGGCCCCCTTTTTAATACAACAGTTTGAACTAAAATATCTATTAACTATCATGTGTTATCTTCATAATTTACCTGTTTTTGTTGGCTTCTTTGCATTTGTTCCATTTGTGCCCTCTCTACTTCAAACATAACAGGTGCAAATAAAATAATTGATGAACTAAAAAAGAGCCATGTAGCTGCACACGAGAAAGCATATAAGCCTTTTACTCCTCTATAAGAGTTGTACGTAAGTTTTGATACTGCTTTACGAACGGGTTCAGGAAACATTTCAGTTAAACCTATAAGACGTTCTGCCAATGTTTCATCAGGCTCCTGAGAAAAAAATAAACTTGTATTAACATTTGGTAACATGAATAATATGCATTATTTTTACAGAGAAAACAGTACCTATTAAAATTTTAACAAATATCTTTTAACAAATTTGATTATTTGATTAATTTTAACAAATTAGATATTTGTTAATATTCAAAAATTAACAAATATCTAATATGTAAATAAGAAAAGTGCAAATTACTCATGTAATGTTGGTTTAAAAGGGTTTTAATATCACATATTATTAGATGTTATTTTTATGAAATATTCAAAGATATCTTTTCATGGATTTTTTAACAAAGGTTTTGCCATTTTATTTTTATGAAATATTCAAAGATATCTATCCACGGATATTTTAACAAAGTTTTTGCCGCTTTATTTTTATGAAAAATTCAATGATATCTATCCACAGATTTCTTAACAAAGTTTTTACCGTAGTTTTATGTCAAATTTAACTACAAAGCTTATAAGGGGTAATCAATATAATGAGTAATAGTAATCGTAATGAGAATAGTTAAAAGTTAATTATGAATATTTAACAAAGAAAATATAGAAAAAAACATTAACTGGAACATTCTTTATAGAAATATGCAAAGTGATCAAAATCAGTATCAAAATTATGAAAAGTATTTTAAGCATAAGGGATATTATGTTCAATTTCAAGCAATGAAAATTCAATAACAGCAAATTTACATATACATCAGTTTGTTGTAGATGTGAAAAATGGTATTTAGGGCTGTCCATGAAACATGTTACTAATTATAATAATTAAAGAAAAATATTATAAAAATTAAAATGATGTGTGTCTCTAATTTATCTTCAAATATTTGTTATATAACATATTTATGAATTAAATGAATTATGTTCAACTTACAATATTCTTTACATGAACACATCGAGAGGTCTAAGTTTTTGACAATTACTCATTACAAAACAATTTAAATTTTCTATCAAAACAACAAATCACTAATATCAATATAGAATTAATTATGTTCCAGTTGTACAAAAATTATAGAGAGCACTTCAAGCATGAGGGAATTAATGGGCAATATCGAGAAATAAAGTAGATACAATTGCATTTTTGCATACAATACAGATAGTTATGATTGTAAAAAATGCAATATTTCCTAAATTCCACTAATTCGCCTTGTAAAGCATTTCAAATATTTCTTTCCTAAATATGTCCTTTACAATTGAGGTTATGTATTACAAATTTAATACTTACATCGTCATAATTTTCTGTAGATTTTGCCACGACTCCTGTCAACTACAAAAAAACATTTGAAATTAATTAATATCAACACGACTCAAAAATTATTAAATATTTATATTATCACAACACACCTCGTCAGATTTTCGTTCCGGAGTTTCATCTTTGCTATTTCCCGAATCCATTCCGCTATCAACTGACCAATCTTCTAATTCGACTGCAGAATCATCCATCAGAAAAACAACGAATTAATAATTAATACACTTTTTGCAGTCTTTTATTTAGATAACAATTATTATGGATTAAAATTGATAGCACCATGAACCTTTTTACTTACAGTAAAAGTACGAGATGTCACTGCTGCAAGTTTCAAACTCTTCAAACTTCAGACCCTATAGGCAGACTTTAAACTTGACCAATATAAAAAACGATGACGCGGAAATTCAAATTATTGAAATAAAAATAAGATTAAATTATGCTACTTAAAATTAAAATTGACCCGAATGAATTACTGATGTTTTCATATGTTTTGTTTTTTTTTGAATTTCTCTTGTTTTTGGATCCCGTATATTTTTGTCACGCTTTCTATGTGCACAATATTTAAAATTTATTTTGATTAAATAATAGCAAATTGATTTTTTCTATTGTTTAGTATCAAAATTATAATCGAAGTTATTATTACAATTATTATATATCATTTTTGCTGTTTTCTGTCATCATCAAATTAAAGTTATAGGTATTAGTAATACCGTTTTACAGAACTATTATTTGATTCATGTGTATAGTGTTATGTCTTTTTCTAATTTGTTACCTGCAAAAAGTTTTGAATGATTTATCACTTAACAAAAAATTGCTCCAAATTCAATTTTATTCAATATCTATGCTTCTTTGTGGCTCATATGCTAGGATCTTTGGGGTTGTAACACAAGGTTCGATACCTACCCCGAAGAGCCTGATATCAAGCAGTGGTGATATAGATTTTTACTTGAAAATATAGATATAGAACAATACTGTGGTAATAGCTCTTCTCTGGGATTGCTGTATCATATTAAGAATATTATATAAAGCTTATATTTATTCCATGTATGTTGATTTTGTAATTCTAATTTGTTACTTGCAAAAAGTACTTGAATGATTTATCATTTAACAACAACAAAAACATTTGTTTAAAAATTTGATTATATTTAAGCTTCTCCGTATCTCATACCCTGAACAGCCTGATATCAAGCAGTCGTAATATAGGTTTCTCCTTAAAAATATAATTATAAAACATTATTGTTATTGACAATCGTTTTTCTTTGGGATGGGTGCATTAGATTAAAGATATTATTTTATGTATGTTATTTGTTATTCTAATTTGTTACTTGAATGATTTATCACTTAACAACAAAAATATCCACTAAAAATTGATTAAATTTAAGATACGAGAGAAATACCCTATCAAACGTAATTAAAAAATACTGTCTAATATTTGCTACTTCATTGCATTTTGGTCCAGGACTGGACGACACAAAATTGGATTTTTGTAAAAAAAAAAAACAAATTGCAAAGTATATTCTTTTAGTAACCCCGGATTTGTAGACTTTTACCTTTATATACCTTTATTAAATCAAAAGTCCATATATTTCTTAATAAAGAACCAAAGTTGATAAGTAAATTGAATTAAATATTTCCCATTAAATTCCCATTTCATAATTTATGCATGCAAGATATTACCCTCACTTAATGAAGAAATTTTATTTTTTTCTCTCATGTGTGGTTCCAAATATGTTTTGGTTATGCATTATAATAATAATAATAAATAGTAGTCTGCCCAAAGACAGGCCCATGGTATGAGAGCATCACAAAATCAATGATTGTCTTTCCCTACCTTGTTTATTATTCCCATTACCGTTTTATTACCATTAATTAATGACCATTAATCACTTTATATTCTTTTGTATGAATTTTCCTTTCAAAACTTTTTTTTCCATGTTTCCTGGTCCTCTCTTTAGTTATCTGTATTTCCTCTTCTTGCGTAAGTCATCAACCATCTGCATTCTTCTTCTCCCAATCCTTTCAGTCCTTCTATTTTGCTTTCGACGACGTCGTGTAGGAGGCACTCTTCTTACAGAATGGGTCCGATCCAGTTTCCTTTTTCAGGATCAGTTTCCTTTTTCTGGCTGGTGCTCAGTACAGTCCTTTCTTCTCCTGTTTCTTCATTTGTTATCTTGTCAGTGCACTTTATTTTCTCCATTCTCTTTATATGCAATTATGCAATATAATAATTAATAACCAAAAATGATGTTCATTTTATCGAGAAAAATTAAACTCAAAACTTTTTTCAACTTTTAATGTTACAATTATACATATAACATGTTACATAGTTTTAAACTTCGATATGAAGAATAGATTAATAATATAAATATGTATCTACAAATCAGCGTATGAAATCCAATGATATACGCATATAAATATAGGTATATATTAATTTTTAACAAATAATTATAAAAATATTTTTATTTCAATTATAATTAGGTAATATTGTTTTTGTTGTAGTTTTCATGTAATTTATAAAGAATAAGGCAATTTCGTAACATTTTTGTTAAGAACTGAAGTGATGCTTATCATAATAATGTGTACATTATTTTAAAAAATTGCAATAAATTTATTTGGAAGTTTTTTTCACAATTGAGCCAATTCATACTCTTAGAGTAAAAGTAGTTGATTTTTACACAAACTTAAAAAGAATAGAATAGATACAGTACAGGTACGATTGAATTGCAGATTTTTCGTCAATGATGACAAATGTACAACTAACATCAAACTTGCAAGCAAAAATGGTTACTTTTAGAAATTGATGATTTTTATTCAGATTTATGAGCGATTTGATCAAAATGATTTTTTTAAATATGTTCGTATTATTTCGAACAATTTACAACAAGCGTTTTATTTCTACTAATACATCGCGTATTCTAAGAATTTTAATAACAGTATATAAATTATCGTCGTTATTATTGCAATTTTATTCTAAATGATTTATGATATATAATATAATATTTATTGACAATACATTCGATAATGTACATTTTTACATTTTTAAATATAATACAACCTTATATAAGTATCACACCATCTTGTATTTATGAAAATAGTCTCGCAAACTCTGAAAAGAATAAAATATCGTTAGTATTATTTCTAGATGAAACTAAAAGCAGATAATTGAAGACAAATATTTAACCGATCCAAAATTATATTATAATAATGTAATAATAATAACTTTCATTCATGTAAAAACCGATTGTTATAACTCAGAAGATATAATACATACTTATCATAACATTAATTTTATTTTTCAGAACTAACGGTATGAAATTTTCTCATTCTTACAAAAAGTTTATTCTATTTCTCATTTAAATTTGCCATAATCAACTATAGTTGTAGTAAAATGTATGAATCACTAGCATATTAAATAACATATAAGTATATTATATTCTGTTTTTAATTTTTACCGCATTTTTCATAATCTATGTACATTGATTAAGCTATGCATCTATTGCAAATTTGTTCAAAATTAATAATTATACTGATTTTGTTTTTTGAAATAATATTTTAAAGTTCTAACTTGTGATTTAGCTATTAGATTGTAATTTATCTTATTTAATAGAAGTCTTTTCTAGATTTTGTCAAGTCTGGCCGATATACGAACAGTCACAATCCGTACAATTGAATTTGTGGACAACGTTTTACCTTTCTTGTAACTGTGTTCAATGTTTATATATCGGTGTCAAAGTTTTTAATATGTTCCACCTGATCAGAATGCTTAAACTCTACCTTTTTTATTTTACACAACTAGTCATTGGAGTAAAACGAACTTTTTTGCTGGCACTTATCACATATTAGTGTTATATATCTTTTACACACGACAGATCTTTTTTGCTAGCACACATCATGTAGTGCTATTTATCATCTACAGAAAACAATTTGATCATATTTTATTAACTTTTTCATATATTCATTTATAGGGATGATGAGACAAACAATTGCCGTGAAAGGTAAACGTTGAAGTTGTACTTACTAATAAAAAACTACATAACATTCAATCTGAGATCAACTTTTCTTGGTTATTAGTTACCAAGTCGAATTTAATTATTAAAATGACATCTAATATAAAATAATAATTCTCATCTAATATAAAAATAATTCCTCGGATGCCGCCGCTTCGGCGGCAAAATACATAATAATTCCGGAATTAGCGAGTGGAAAGGGTTAAAAAGTAGCGAATGTAAGAAAGTATAAAGTCTTTTAGTGTTAAAAATGACGATGGAACCTATTTATAAAATAAAAACCGTTATAGGCTGTACCCACTTGTGATCTTCCAATTAGTAAAAAATCTTTATAATATTATATTAATAGATGCATTTTTTCGTATTCATAAAACGAGCAAAGAATTTGGCACAGATACCACCCAAGCTGAAAGGTCTCCAAAATTTGACTTTAAAACTATTCCCTATATATTTATTTTGATTGACAATAAAACTATGCAAAAAACTATTCCCATTCGAAGTCTACCTTTTAATTATGCATAAATGATTGAAAAAAAAAATATAAATGAACATTATAGTAAGGGAAAAAATTCCAAATCCAATTATTGCCGTAAAATGCTTAAAATTGAGTGAAAAATATTAGAAGAAACTTTACGAAAATCTTACTTCTCATGGTAACTGATGTTGGTAATTTAGAAATTTCAGCCAAAATATAGCAGGGGTACTATATATATATATATATATATATATATATATATATATATATATATATATTATCTACAAATGAATACAAATTACCTTCGAAGTTGATGCGTCCATCCTTGTCCGTATCGGCCAACGTCATCAACTCGGTGACCTGCTGCTCCGTGACATTTTCGCCGATCATCTCCATGGCGGTTCGCAATTCGTCTCGGGAAATGTATCCATTACCATCTCGGTCGAACACCCTAATAAAGAAAAATCGCCGATCTCAGACAAAATTGATCGGACAGATTTAATGAAAATTAAAAATGTCTGCTTCTAAATATAGAACGCCTTTGACTTCGGAAATATGAGCAAATATATAAGTGGTAAAATAGTATGTGAGTACAATATGATTAAGACCTCACACAAGTTTATAACGCAATTGAAATCTTAAAATTAGAACACTATTAATTATAAATTAGTTTTTTTGCAGGCTTTCCCGTTAAAATTGTAAATCTTTCATTTATAAAAAGAAATGAAGAAAAATTCGGATACAAGATCCTGAACATAATCCTATTTGAAATCTTTCATAAAAACCATTAGTTTTTGAACCGGTTTTGTTAATTTTAGCGTAATGTCTACCGATAGAAACTATCTTAATTTTAGCTCGTTATAGTTACATATTTTATTTTTGATTAGTATACCTATAATAATTGCCTTGAAACATTAAATGATAATAATAAAATAATAATGTAATCAAATCAGCAATTAGTAGGCAATGGACCACTGCCAGCGGTGGTGTGCGGAACGTTGTTCCGGCAAATTATTTTTGGGCCAGAACGCGTTACGGATTTTTTTTTAAAATAATCGTTATATACAGAAAATGATTTGATGAGTGAATTTCGAGTATTAGATCTGACATTGTGATCAGCAGATATAGAAATTGGCTATGGAGAAAATGAAATTCAATCATTATACACCAGATTTAACACTTTCCACTCGCGAATTCCCATATTTATGTAAAATTTGCCGCCGGAGTGGCGGCATCCGAGTCGAAAGGGTAAATTTAACATCACGGATTCGATTTTTCAATGCGTTCAGAGATTATATTGATACTGGAGGCAAAGTAATTCCTAAATATATTGAAATCTTAATTCGATTCAAACCAATATTGTACCTTGCAGTTCGGCATAGGGTGAGCACGGATTCAGTAATGTAAATATTATTTTAAATGGACAAATAAATAGAATATTAATTGAAAATCTAGCAAATCTTTCATTTATGAAAATAAATGAAGAAAAATTCAATTACAAGATCCTGAACATAATTCTATTTGGAATACTTTATAAAAACTATTAGTTTTTGAACCTGTTTTGTTAATTTTAGCGTTCCGGTAAAAAAATATTAGCACAACACCACTGGAAGTAGGTCCAATATTAAACTACCCGTCTGATGATAATATAATGAAACCGTCTAATGATAATATATAGAGACAAACAAAAAACAAGTGGTGTTTTGACTTAAAGCAAGTCGTATGATTTTCGCGATACATGTAGATAATCGAGTTATAAGCAATAAAAATTGTGATTTACTCTTTATTTTTAAAGAATTTCCAAATTTTCAACTGCTTATTTTAATTTTGCTTTTTCACTACATAACTAATCAATATCATTTTAAATTGCTATTTTCTAAACGAACTTGTAATATATGTATTGTAATATATGCAATGTTAAATAAGTGCACAATCACGCCCATTCATATATTCAAGTTCATTTCTAGGAGTGTCATGAAATAAATATATTTATTTATTTTATTTTAAATTATTATTATAATAATAATTTATAACTATTATTGAAGAAAAAGTTATGAAACATATCGTCTTAAAAGTAATATTATAAAAGTGTATTGTGTAGGGGAGACTGGGTACGGTTATGCCAGGGCACGGTAGTGGCAGTCATCATAACAGGTAAACGATACTGATTTTGAGATAGGGTCCCTAGTAAGATTGTTCTAACAAGTTTACATTATTGTTTTTGGACAGTGCCTTACATTACATTAATGTGATCTATAGACCGAATTGCTTTGCAAGAGCCAAAAGTAGGTATATGTTCAAATTGTTTAATAACAACTGTTAATTGTGTAGGAATCGGCCAATTTGTTTGCTATTTTGCTATAATTTGAACATTAGTAGATATTTACCAGTAATTAGTTTTTGCTTAGCTAATTTAGCTCAGTCATAATGATGATTTGTCTCCGAAATTGTGCGTTGAGTACGGTTGTGACAAATTATGTGTGTACGGTTGTGATATGTATTTCTTGTCCTTTTCACGTGAAGATTGAACAGATGAAAACAATCTAACTTTACTAAGACAAAATACGAAAGAAAAAGGAAAAAAAAAATTCAATACATAAAAAAAGATTTTTCAAAGAATTCTTGTTAACGTTGTTTAAAAAAATATGACTTTTTATCTATTATATTTGCTATATTTTATTCATATAAGCTTTATTGTTTAAATGTTCATGTTGTGTTCAGTTACATATTATTAACAACAATAAAATTCGTTATAAACCATTTTGGTGTATATCTATAGTTTTTAACCTATTTTTATGCCTGTGTGACAACCAACCACACCCCCAGGAACAGTTGTGACACTCGCCCATTTCTTGTACTATTTGATTATATGACTAATCCATTGTATTGAAGGACAGTATTTCCACGTAGACAAATGATCAAATAATCATTTAATTTACTTTTCTCCCAGCTAACTGATAAATTAACAAAATTATAGCTGTTCAAAAAAAAGTGGCAGAACCGTACCCAGTCTCCCCCTGTGCTGCTTCCACAATTTTGTAAAATAAACCAATTAATTTATCACAATCTAAAAAGACTAAAGCAATAATGTTAATAAAAACACTAACGACAATAAAAGTCGGGCACGTTCGAGCCAAAACATTATGCCAACGGAGCTCTCATTTTCTATTTACATCAACCGGGTTCTGATTGGTGATCCTCTGCGGTAATAAACGCGAAGACCTAAACGCAAGAATTACTTTGTCGCTGAGATTTCGAGTTACGAAAATAGCCATCATATTTTACATCAGGACACCAGAGCAGGCCGTTCAACTGATTTCCAACATTTCTTCGTAACCCAATTCTATTAAGAGTTCTTTATCGGTTGTAATTCACACAGATAATTGCTCGGAACGAGCAGCCAAAACAAAGTCCAGTGTAGACGGGTAAATTAAATCAAAGCTTAGATATATAAAACAAACGGAGTACCTGATACCAATAAGATCAAAAAGCGTAGCAACAAAATTTGTTTATGTAATACTGATATTGGTTTTAATTTTCTTTTAATTATATGAGCAGAAATCAGAACTTAAGGGTATCTATAAACCGTTGTATGAATTACTTAATACTATGTATCTTTTTAATAATGGCAACTCAAACAGTTATCACACCTCTAATTGTTTTATTGATGCAGCAATGCCGGACAACGACTATGTTTACTTGGAAACATATTGCTATCTATATTTCTAAATAAAAAGTGATGCCACTACTCCATGACATCAGGCTAATTCAAGTCTAATCGTTCTAACCATTTTCCTTCCAGTTTTATATTATACATGTATATTTATTCTGTTAGTATGGACAAATTTAATTTTTTCCATAGGTTCTTTTTCCGAAAGCAGGTGTGCTGAGTGAAACTGCAACTCCATCCTGTAGCGTAGGATATTCAATTTTATTCAATTCACTATATTGAAATTTTATCATGTTATACTTCTTTTCATAGTAGTTCCAAGAAGGGACAAGTTTACTTGAAAATATATATGGATCTGTTTTTAAAATTTCATCAAGTTGGTTTTTACAAATTTTAGTTTCCTCGCAAAGCAGTGAAAATTGATGTCAGGTCGAAAGAACCGCAAAATATGACCTCCGAATTTTATGGTGCAATGTCAAAGCTCTACCACTTAATTGTTAATGACCATACTATCTTTTACATTTTTATATTATTCTGACTCTAAAATTATATTCATAGTATGTTATTTGATATTTATTGATAGCTTTAGGGATACAAATGATTTTTTATTTTTTTTTAATTATTTTTGAACAGCAATCAGAACCCAATATTCCTATAAGCTGTTGTGCTGATTTGACTTAATACTAGTCTGTTCGACAGATGGCAACCCAATCAGTTATCATTTATATATCTTTATGATATATTATTATTACAATTTCTGTAATAGGGCAAGTATTTTTATTGGTGCAACAATGCCGGGTGAGTGCTATTTTCACTTGGAAACATATTACTATCTATATTTCCAAGTGAAAATCGTTGTCACTGCTGCCTGACAACAGGCTGCTCAAAGAGGGTATCGAACCCGGGACCTCTGAAACAAGTCCCGTTGCTCTTAAACGCTTATAAACGGGCGAGCACCAAATAAAAATTAATGTGCAACTATTTTTATTAGTAGTTTTTATAATAGAACGCTCCTTCCTAAGTTATTGAAAATGTTTTCAATAGTACTAACAAGAACAAAGGTCTGGAAAATATCTGGTGCTTGGAATTGAATTTACAATACAATAATTCAATAATCAAAACAGTATCTTAATTAGACTCAATATGAGTTTGCCTTGACTAAAATGATATTACCTCAAGATATTTGAAAAAACTCAATTCGATTCTTTTATTATAGAAATAAAATCAATGAAACGATGGCATAGTTCCTATCAAGTTCTATAAAACTTTCTATCAACATCTTTCTGTCAAACTAAGAGAACAAGTTGAAGTCTTTGAAGTACTTTACATAGCGAAACACACAGAGAATAAGAGAGTTTTATCAATGTGCTTTATTGAAATTACTTAAATAAATACTATTTTTGCGTCAAAAGCCAAAATTGCTAATTATAAAACAATGATGTGGGTTAAGAAACTTTAGTGATATTTTTATACTTAATCTGCTCAATATAAAAGAATAGTATATGATTTTTCTTAGCTGGAACTGTGGAACTATACATTGCGGACGCAAACCATAGATCATATAATATATTATATGAATTATATATATATATATATATATATATAATATATATATATATATATATATATATATATATATGTATATATAAATTTACTTACTTGAAGGCAGATCGTAGATCTTTATTGACATCATCGTTGGAGTCTGAATCGCCGCCTTGTCTTTGGGTTCCGCCTTGCATTGCCTGAACTGCCTGAATCTTTGCGATCCATTGTAAAAACTCGGTCTCGTCTATTAATCCGCTACCTAAATATGTTAAAATACTACCATAAATGATTTTGTATATATTAGCATTAATACCAGCACATTTTAAATAATTATATAAAAAATTTATCATAAAAAATATTTTAGAATAATAAAAATTGAATAAAATCTAATTTTTAACAAATTAGGTTAAAACTTGGAGAATTGTTAACAAATTATGTTAAAATAAATTGCAAATAAATTAGGTTTAATATTCTCATAAAAATAATTTATAGAATTTATTTTATGACCATAGCATTCCAAAACTAGTTGGTATTGGTATTTTGCCTTGAGGCAAGTTACATGAACTTCCCGATATGTGAAAATAATCGACTTAATCAATAAAAAATAAATTAATTTATGAGTGATTAAAAGTATTTCGAGTGGATTAATTACACATAATTGTAAACAAACGAACACGTTAACTCGGAGTATTTTCTAAAAGCAAGTTTTCAGAAATCAACAATTTTTATATTTGAACCAGTTTTCGTAGAACTTTAATGGTTTAGTATGTTCATTAAGACCAAGTACTTTATCGTGATTCCAAGTCTCGTATAATTTATATTTTAACAAACGTCAAAAAAGCTTTTCATTTTCTTAAACTTTAATGAATTTTTAAAATTAATAATTTGTATAAGATCATGATATATAATATCAAAAAGTATCATAAAAATCGGCTTTATTTTTTTTCTCAACAGTTAATTACAAGGAAACGGCTCGGTAGATTTTCAATTTTTCACCTAAAACTAATCAGTATCATTCCCAACTAATATCTTTCGAAGAGTTTTTGATTTTTTAAAATCGATTCGGTAGTATGAGCTTAAATGTGAACGAACGGTTTAACACTTTTTTCCAAATGACAAAGAAACGGCTTAGCAGATCGTCGCACAAACCTGACAAAGGATAGTCCTCATCGAGATACATCAAATGGCATTTAAATTTTTGAAATCGGTCCAGTCTTTTTTGAGAAAACGTCGATTTACGGCAAAAAATCTGTTCACACACATACACACACATACTGTTTCCAAATTTGGTCTCATTCGATTCAGAATGGCTTGAAACGTCGAGAAAACACAAAATTAGCGAATCGGATTTTTTGATGAAAACATAAACTTCTCCTTCGGTAAGTTAAAATGCAATATTTCTAACCTAGCAAGTAATTACATATGGAAGATTTTGCCATATATTTGCATATATTAATCTCTATTTGATGGTTTTGAGAAAAAATCTAAACATTTAATATGATTAACCATTTTATTAATCAGAAAATATAAAATTTTTATTATAATTTATATAATATTACATTATAAATTATTGTAAGGTTATAAAAGATCATAGCTATTAAAGTTATAAAATCTTGAAGCAAAATTGAATATTCTCATTTGGGTTATTATGTTGATTGTCGTTGAATGAATTATTAAAAAATAAATCCTCATATTTATGGTGAATTTATTCACATTCTATTGGCCTTAGATAAATTTTCTGCTAAGAAGTATATTTTCCGGTAAGAGAAATACATATGTCCTTAAAATTCCTTATTATCATATACTCTTCACAGATTTAAATGCATATTTTATGAAGCATTAGAACAAAATATTTATCATTTAAATACCAACGCACAGTTAAGTAAAATCTTAAATATAACTCAAATTCTATTTATAATTTGTCATGCGAGTGATGCTGAAACTATTTCCGATATTAACACTAGAAAGACGGACGCAGTCATTTTGACTGTTTTCCATTTTCAAACATAAAAATAACTATGTATTTGAAGTCGCAGCTTCGTGAAATTTTGTGACTTTTTATACAACATATAAATGCGTAGATAAATCGTATTATTTGCCTTATCTCACTTTTATTTTCAATATTCTTACATGTTATGCCTGCATGGACGGAACACAGTCATTTTGACTGCTCTAGAAATTTTATATTACAAACGGCTTTGTTATTGTATTGCAAATAGTTATCTCGCGTGCATTCATCTCCAATATGCGATAATGCATTTTTTATATAAAAATAACCGAATTTTGGTAAGTATTGACATTAGACCGGTCTTTTTCGCGTAGTAACTTTCAGTATAACGCGTTGTTCAGTTGATTTTTTAGAACTTATAAATAAAATGTCGAAGAGAAGTGAATTATTGCAAAGTAAAGAGTGTTCCGACATAGAATCAAATGCAGAAAATTGGGCACAATCATTTGATGATGAATTGGATTATATTCAACGTGAATCATCTAATTCTGAGGGTAGCGATGAAGGTGATAACTATTGATGAAAATGAAAGTGTATGCAGGAGGGTGCTAAGTGGCCCAGAAACTGATGAAAGTGTGGGAGTTGTAATGATTATGATAATATATTAAATTAGAAACTCCCAACATAATAAAAAAATATAAATTTATTAACTGTAAAAATATTTCGATATCAAAAATATACATGACATGTCCGATTGTTTTTACCAAATCAAAACCAGCCTGCTTGATATCGCCACACACTCCCTGCCCAGTGTTGATCTCACAGTTTAAAAAAAAATACAGGGAAACACGTTATAAAAATGTGGTGGGAAAGCAGATTATAGCAGACCAGTGTTGTAATACTGGTCAATTACAAATTTCCATGTTTCGTCAGCAGATCCACCGTATGTGGTGATTTGACCTGCCATCAACTCCATATTCTGCATAATATTCTCGATCTAATGGGTATTAGTTATATCAGAATAACTTAATGTTTAGAATGCATAATTTATGGGTACAGTTTCCATTTCTGCAAGCGTTGCATTCGTATCTGATGAGTTCCGATCAGAGAAAGAAGTTGGCTCTTTATCCAAATCAGGATCATTGGTTTCATTGACATAAGAGTCCAGAATTGTGGAATCCAATAAATTATGTCAAATTTTGTTTTGATTCGTCGTTGTCACCGATAATGGGAGGTAGCATTATAAGATGATTTGTTGAGTTAGCAGAGAAAGAGAGGTTGAATTGCATTCCAATGAAAAGTTCAGGCTCCAAATTATTTTTACTGTCAGCAATAGACACTGAGGTCTGGGTATACCAAATGAGTAACCTCGGAAGTCTGATCCAGATAGTAAGTGCGTTAACTATGATGGATTGGACTGGACATACCTTATAGGTCGTCACTGAAGACCAGTGATTATGATGCTGCGTCAAAATCAATTTTTCTCAAATCCTCGAAAAATAAAACTCCTTTTTTTTTGTCATCATCTCCATCGTCGTGAGTCACCAATGTGAGAGTTGTAATGATTATGATAATATATTTAATTAGAAACTCCCAACAATAAAAAAAAAATATAAATTTATTAACTATAAAAATAAAAACAGTTAATAAATTTATATTTTTTTATAATGTGGGAGTTGTAATGATTATGATAATATATTAAATTAGAAACTCCCAACATAATAAAAAAATATAAATTTATTAACTGTAAAAATATTTCGATATCAAAAATATACATGACATGTCCGATTGTTTTTACCAAATCAAAACCAGCCTGCTTGATATCGCCACAAAAGAATTCAAGGAACAGAAACAGCTCTCGATGGTACTGTATGGACAAAAATTGCCGAAGGTGGTACTCCAGGAAAGTCATCATCTGTGTTTTCAAGGGTGTGAAAGGGCCAACGAGCTTTTCAAAAAAGAATATTATTACAGGTGATCTTGTCAGTGCATTTTCGTTGATAATAGATAATTATATTATCAAACACATAAAACAGTGCACAGAAGAAGAGGGCAGTCAAATTTTGGTGTACGATTGGACAACATCGTTACAGGAAATATTATTGGAATGCATTTATTGGAATTTTATATGCTTGTGGGGCCTATGAGGCAAAAAATTTGAAATTGACTTACTTATGGTCAGCAAAGAAGACATGACAGATTAAAGGTAAAGAAAATATACCGTGAAATCCCACGTAGTTCACGTAGATGACCCCTGCAAATATTTTTCAATATTTTGGATTTGGCTGCGATAAATGCCTGGATTCTTTACAAAGAAGCGACAGGAATAAAAATCCGAAGAAACAAATCCTTAGAGAACAGTTTTTGTTTGAATTGGCAGAACAGCTTTCCGCGGACTACACGACATCAACACAAAAAAAATCAAAGGAAAATGATGACCCACAGACATCATGCACATACCAGTAGTAATAAAAGAAAATTTTGCCAAATAAGACTTTGTAATAATAATAAAACTAATAATACGTGTCAAATTTGCAACAAACATATTTGCGGAAAATGTACTCATAAAAAGATCTCAAATTATATTTGCATAATTTTAAAAATAATGAACTTTTTTGTCAGATGAACTATTTTTTTATTTTTAGCACTCATAGATAATTTGTATAAATGTAAATAGTACATGAAATAATAAAAATTAATTTTAAACAAATTTCTAAACGCATTATTTATTTTTTTCACGACGCAGTCATTTTGACTGTTTTCAGGCAATGTAGGTATACTCAATTCGTCCGTCTTTCTAGTGTTAAAAAAACTGTTCAAATTAACTACATCGAATATATAATCTTGAAGCAAAATTGAATTTTTTTATTAGGGTTACTCTGTGTTAATGTTGATTGCCGTTGTACAAATTATTAAAAAATAAATGTTAATTTTTATGGTGGATATTATTCAAATTCCATAGGCTTTGCATAGATTTTGTGCTGAAAAAAATATTTTCCACTAAGAAAAACACATAAGTCCTTAGAATTTCACATTATCATATAATCTTCACAGATTCAAATGCATATTTCATGAAGCAATAGAACAAAATATTTTACCATTTAAATACCAACGCACAGTTAAGAAAATCTTAAATATAACTCAAATCCTATTTATAATTTGTCATGAGTGATGCTAAAACTATTTCCGATTTAAAAAAACTGTTCAAATAAACTACATCGAATATCCTAGTACGAAACCCAATTTCTCACATGAGTCCAACTGGCATGAAATCAATTTATTTACATTGTCACCTGAAAAAATTGGCTTCGATTTGCTCTATGTTGGCTTGGCTATTATACTGAGTGAACATATTTTGTTTATTTAGTACCTGATACTGTAAGTTGCCAAGTCGCCATGTGACAAAGTCGCCTGATAGCATGAAATTATTTATGAGGTAATAAATATTGATCAGCGTTACTAATGTTCGCAGATAACGCTCGCGGTTCAATTTGTATTGAATTAAGGTTGAACTCGAATATATTATATGCGAGTTTAATACAGTTCAAGTACGAGTTCAATTACTTGCCTATTTATAACACGAAGTTATTGACAATATTATTATATAATTAGTCTTATTTTTTACATATTATTCTTTTTGTATATTATTTGAACAGCACTCAGAACTGAAGGATACTATAAGCTGATTTAACTTAACTACGTCTTTTGTGTTCGTGTTTGTTCTTAATATTATAAAAAGTTGGTTTTTTGTTGATATTTTTTTTACCAAGATTTAAATTTAGTTTATTTTGAAATTTTGAATATATATATAGGTGTTATGCGTATAGAATATACAAACATATTTTAATTTAATGTATTGTTATCAATTCGATAGATGTACATACTTTGTAAGTCACAATGTCTATATAATGTATCGAAATTTGAAATGAAATAAAAAATGTTATAAAAATAAAACTAAACTACGTCGGTTTTTATAGATGACCGCCAAACTGTTGTCCCATTATTATATTATATTTTTATATTATTATAATTTCGGTAATAGAGATAAATTAATTGGCTTGTCGAATAAGGGCTATTTTTACTTGTAAAAACCGATGTCACCACTGCTTGATATCAGGCTGCCCAAAGCAGGTAGCAAACTTGAATCTTCTGATTGAAATCAAAAATTTAGTATTCCAGATTTAATAGGTTTATGACATTAATTTCAATGAATAAAAATGCTTTGGTATTATATTTTTTGTTTTTTTAAAAGCACATTTTTGTTATATTACTGAAAATTGCTTTGTTCGATGTTCAAACATATTGTGATAAATTATCAAAACTAAAAGAATGTTTTTATTTGTTTAGTATGTGTTATTTTGTTAAAAATATTGCAGTACGGTGGAGCGGGTAAAAAGCTCAACATATGTTGTCATATGTCACGAATAACCAACGTTAGGAAATTTTTAACAACAATATTTGAAAGTAGAGCGCAAAAGATGTATAATCAGCCATCACCTTGGATCTTACGACTTTGCTATCAGAATAAAAATGGTAATTTTGAAAATCCATAACAAAAGTATTTTCTTTTGTTGTTAGTTTTTTGGTTGTGAGCACTATTGTTTAATTTACGAAACCGTAATATAATTTTTAAGTAAACATTATTTTGATGTTTCATAAGTTGTATTATTATTTTTAAGTTAGATTCAACAGTTTTTTCTAATATAACTTTTACAAAAGCTTACATGTGTGTCGGATAAGTAGCAAGGACCAACTGAAAACTTACCTTGTCAAGATGTAAAGAATGACACATGACAAATTTTAGAAAAATAGTTAAAAAAATATATTTCTATAATTAGGAAATAATTCAGAATTTCACTGAACATAGTACTATAGTTTATGTGTTATGTGTTGTGATGTACTTCATTTAGGTTAGATAGTATAATTACTTAACGCCAAATTGGACCTTTGTGCCTCGCACTACCATGTATATATACATATATAATTCAACTACATATACTTTCTCTAAAATAGAATATACTATTCTGTAACAAGTTCTTATTTTGGTCTAGTACTTTTGTTTCTATGTAATTTTTGCATCCACGAATTTAAAGAATACTCGTTTAGTAGAAATTTATGTAAAAAAACTGCTATCAGAAAACTTTCAGAAAAGTACAAATTTTATAAAGTAAACCTGATGGATTTGGACTAAGCTTAAATGAGCTAAGCTAAAATTTAGAAAAATACTAATATTTTGATGTGATGTAATTTAAAATAAAATTATTTTTAATCATGTCTAGCCCAAACTAATTGCAAGGTATAAATATTCTTTAACGATGGAATAATGAAAAGCTTTTCATCAATATTTTATATAAAAGCACATTGAATAAAAAAAGTGTTTAATACTACAATTTTTAACACGTCTTAGTTTATTATTTGAAACAAAATAAAATACAATACTCGTTGTCATAATACATAAATTAAGACACTGTGATGGAAAAAGTCACAGTCGAATTATATTTATGACACAATGTGATCAATCAATCAATGAGACATTTTTTCAAAGCAAAAAGTGGGACATGATAAGTTCGTTGAATAAAATATTATTTTTGTACTGTATCTTTATAATTACAGGAATTTCATTTTGTGAAAATGCATTACCTGTTATTATTTCGTACTTGTCTTTATAACTAATTAATTATGGCTAATGTACTTGCTTATCAGGCCAATTAACGAATAAATAAGTTATTAGTTGGTTAATCAACTTTGTCTCTAAAACTTTGAAGTTCACATTAAAATCCTTCTTACAATTAGTTAGTCAAAATAATAGAAAAACTAAATTGCAAAAAATTATAAAATATAATTTTTGGAAAAATTTTATAGACATATAAAGTAGATTTTTCTGATTCAAAATAACTTTATGATTTAAATAAAAAAACCCAATTAATATCAAAACTATTAAATACATAATAAGTAAGCTATTAATAACTAGTTTTAAAATTAAAATTTACTAATATCAAGTTTTTAAATATTTTATAAAAATTAAAATATATTCCATCAGATTGCATTTTCTTTATTAATCTGCCAATTATTCTGAGAAAATAATGCGCAATAATCAAAACGCTCGAATTGCAATTTAAATTAGACATAAATCAAACGTTCTCTGCATCTTCGTATTTTTCTCTAAATATAACATCATCAGAAACACAAAACATCAAATATAAAATATTTTGCAAGAATATATATGGCACGTATGCATTATAAAGGACTGACATATAAAATAAAACGAATAAACTGAGTATAAAGAAGTGCATTGTGCATATGAAGTTATTTGATATTCCTAAAAGTAAATGGAAAATGTAACTATATGCAAAAGAGATACGGTTACATTTTCCATGAGATATTGTATACATTCGTCATTTTTCTATTTTCATGTGCTATTGTGGAAATAATGTTATTTTGAATTCGTCGCAATACGATTTTTATTTCGGATAATTTAAAAATAAAATGATAATGAAGCGAGTAATTTAAAACTATTATTGGAAATTGTATTTATAAAATGCTTCTTGAGAAACTATTTTGGTAAAGCTAAATATAAATAGAATTAATTATTTCTTCTTTCTATCATTGATATAATCTTTACTTAAATTTATATAACAACTGTTTTATTAAAACTTAGTGGTTCTGGTATGATTGTTTTGGTAGAATTAATAAAATAAAAGAAAATATATATTGTGCACTCACACTGTCTCATAAAATAAAAGTAAGTATGTATATATTACTAAACATATACTTATTTTGCCTAAATAATTATGTTACACAAAACCAGGTGAATTAGTTGTAAGTATCATGAACTTCGTCTTAATCAATATATATAATTGTCTTAATCGATAAAGAATGATATTTAGCAAAACTAAGGCGAAATTTGATTGAATTTTGTTTCTAATTGTTATTTCATTACAAACTACTCAATGCAAATTCCAAATTGTTCTATAATTTCATATCAATTTCGTAACCTAAGCTTTTAGAATTCCTGAGCTTTATAATGCTAAATCACTTTTTTATAATAATTTTATAATATGTTTTTTACGACGATAGTACTTAATATAATAAAGCAAAGTTTATCTGTCAAAGTTAATGCATTATTATTATATTCAAAATCGGCTCAGCATTTTTGGCGCCTTTGACGCAAGTTTTTGAACTTATCTGCCAATTATACAAATTAATATACTTCATTAATCATTATGTCTTGCAAAACTTATTAATGTGAAATTTTATGGAGTTTTATCAAATTTTTTCGAACCGGTCTAACCAATTTTTAAGAAATCATCGAAATACACACGTTTTCCTATTAAATTCACAATAAATTGAAAAATCATGAAAACATAAAATTAAGATATTGGATTTTCTGGCGTAAATTAAACTTCTTCGAGAAGTTGAAAAAGCATCAGGCAATATTGAATTAAAAAAAAAACAACTAGTCGAAAGCGACAAAGATTTTTTAATTTTCTCTTAAGTACTATGAAATGGTTCGGCCAAAAACGATAGTCCTCGAGATACATCGAATGGCTTTTGAATTTTTGAAATCGGTTTAAAGGTTTTTGAGTAAACGTCGATTTGATATAAAAAATTGTCCACACACACATACATACTTTTCTTCAAATTTGGGCTCATTCGATTCAGAATGGCTTGAAACGTCGAGAAAACATAAAATTAGCCAAACGGATTTTTTGATGAAAACAAACTTCTCCTTCGGGAAGTTAATAACAATGGTAAACAATAAAAATAAATATAATGACAATAAATATATTTAAATTATAAATATGCAGTATAATATTTAAAAGCAATTAATTAACTTATGAATTTATAATTTATTGTTAATGCTTGAGTTATCATATTGTATTTGAATTTTCGTATAAAAGCTGGAATATTATGGTTTATGCGTTTCGAAAATAAGCAATAAAGCATTCAGCAATATAGAACCAATTTTTTTTTGATAAGCTTTGAAAAATTATTGAAATGGTTTGAAAATAATTGATAATGAAAAACCAAGAGTTAACAAAAAAACGCCTTTCAGGAAGTATATCGGTCATATTCAGGAGTCTGAAAAGAACTTTAAAAATAGATTCTATACAATTCTGTAACTTGAATTTTTTTTCAATTTGAATTAAGTGTTCATGTTTAAAATGTCTAAAAACTCAACATCATTTATATTCATTATCTATCTATTTATTCTATCAAACACTCACCAGACTGACTAGCGTCTTTCATCAGATCTTGAATAAGTTCATCCCTCACGTGGATTCCTAGATTTCTTAACATAAATTGCAACTCTGAAGCCGTTACATGTCCATCCTGGTTGCGATCCAGCAACCCGAATGCAGTGCGAAGATCTAAAAAAAAAAATTAGTTAAATATTATTGAAAAAATATACTTTATATATAAACATCATTAATGATTTATAATTTTTTTTATTTATCTTATTCTCATCTATAAATTAATGTGTTTTCACATTTGTTTCTCAAAAATAATGTATATAATGCTGATGCTGAAGCTTAAGAATAAATTTAGATACAAAAATTTCAAAATTTATCAAACATAATTGTATATTTTTTACAGCATACCAAGCTGTAGTGATATCAAATTCTCAGTTGAGATTATGAAACTCAAATATTATACCAAGTGAAAATAGTTTTTTTAGGTAATTCTGTAATATACATTTACATTAAAGAAGAAAATATAGATATTTTCTCAGCATTGCCGAAAAAATAGATTTCAACTATAATACCAAAAACAACTTGTTAATATTCAATTGAAATAATAGTGAACGTTAAACTAGAGCTAAACAAATAACTGATGAAGCATTAAACAACAAGAAAAAGAGAACTTATTTTTAAAATTCTATATTTTGATTCAATACTTTTCTTATAATATAATTTTATATACTTTCTACCACAGAAAGTAGAAAATGAAATGCGTCTAGTTTTCCAGATAAAGTTTTAATAATATAATTAAACTAGTTTGTAAGAAGTGATCTAATAATAGTTGTTCATAGAGCATTTAACAGTATGATTTTGTTGTACAACATAATTAAAATGAAATAAAATATTTATATTAAATTAAGTTTTGTAGAATAATTAAGATGTGAAATATCAACATCTTGTTATTCTAACCGAAGAAACTTATTACGGCAGCTTCCAATATAAATACTGAAATTAGCATTTATATTAAAAGTGTCATGAATTCAAATGTTGAAATGTATACAGAGATAAATATTCGAGTAATCATATATATATATATATATATATATATATATATATATATATATATATATATATATATATACGCATATACTCTTCTACATTAAAAGTAATTAACATTTTTATACAGAATTAAAAAATCCTTGTTTCGGTTAAAGTTCAAGCCTCCATTCAGCAAAAAAGAAATATACAGCTTTCCATTATGTGAATATATTTAGTAATTGTTTTGTTAGTTTTTATTTTATAGATTGCTATTAGAAAACACTCTAAAGGTTGTTCTTTACAGTTGTGATATATTATAACATACTTTAATTTAGTAATTTTGTAAAACGTATAACTCATCTATTGGAAACATATAGATATCATATGGGAATCGTATTGATCAGTTTTTGGTAATTCGTTGTTTTATTTTTTCAGGATTTTGATAAAACCTTATATGATGATAGATTTCAAGGTGTTAATCAATATCTTATAATATTATGATCTTGCGAAAAGTCGTTTTTATATTTTTATAATAATTCTTGTTCTATGAGTCAAATATGTATACATGAATTACTGAAATGCTTATATAACTTGCTTATTGTTAGTTTTTTGTTGCTTAGTTTGCAAAACCAGAATATATTTTTTAAGAATAGGTTATTTAATTGTTTTATAAAATGTTTGTTAATTTCAAGTTAGATTCAACCATTTTTTCTATAAACTTTATAAAAACATACACCTGGGTTGGGTAAATAGGACCAACTAAACTTTTACCCTGGTCAAGGTGTAAAAAATGAAAAACATCAAACAAAAAAGTAAATTATGTTAGTTGAGAATAAAAAAAGCTATTTTACAAGAGATAAGTTAAATAAATAGTTATTTCAATTCTTGCGTTGAATATTTCTGACAAAATACCAGATCAATAGTATTTACAGTTTTATCTGTGTAAAAAAATCCACCCATAAAACTTATATTGTGCATTGGTTAAATAATGTAGTAATTATTTTGTAAAATCCCTTTAAAATTTAAATGAAACTTTGAACATGTTTGCCAACAGTCCTAATTTACCCCTTTTATGGGGTAAAAAAAACAGTCAGATTTTTGAAAAACAGAAAAAAACACATTTCTGTAATGATGAATTAGCTGGGAGTTTTACCGATCATAGTTAGGTAGTTGTTGGTACAATATGTGTTATTTGTATAGATATAAATCGGTTTGGTTTTCACAATATAAATGCTCAAAGTCAAATTGAACCTATGTACACGAAAGGTTTTGAAACACTTAACAAGATTCTAATGTTTGAAACAGAAATTTTGACGATTGAACAAAACAATGATTAAAACTTGGTTCAAAATTGCAAATTCGTAAATTCAATACCTAATTCAATACATCATTGATTTTTAATTAATACCATTAACCAATGTTCAATTTTTTTTCATCTATATATATTGCATTTATGTGGATACATGAAACTGTGTTTATCTTCATTCTTGTTAACAATCTTTATAATATATAAATATTTAAAATTCAATAATACTTAAAAAAACATATTTATATTTATATAATATATATTTAAACATATTATATTATAATTTGGCTCTTAATGTACGCGTATGATATTTAGAAATCTTCTTAAACTTAATTCGTACGATTCGACTATATAATCAATAATAGGGCTGTAATTACGAAATTACCTGTAACAGATGTCGAATGAGCGATTTTTCGAATAATATACACATTTTTTTTAAATTATATTATTATTATATATATATATATATATATATATATATATATACATATATAAATGTTGCTTGAATTTTGTATACCAAAAATATAATTATTTAGAGTGTAGTCAATATTTTTACACTATAAACCTAAATTTAAGTTGAAGTCTAATGTAATGAAAGTTCTACGTAATGAAAGAAGTGGCATATAAGTAGGAATCAATATATTATAATATATCGCAAAATAATTATTAGTCTTATTCAATTTTTATAGTACCGGGATAATTCAGTTTACAACCCGCTAATTAAACCAAATGATCCCAAATACATATATTTATATACTACATGTCTTATATCTAAGATCAAATTAAGTCCTGAATTTTGTTATTAATTAACTAAAGCCTTCAACTGAATTACTTACCAGGTAGATTTATAGCAGCTTTTGTACATATTTTGTAAAGTATTATATGCTCTGTGTACACTTTATCATTAACAACCCCATTTGCTCAATAATTAATATCGGATGCCCAATAAATGCTGAACTATAAATTCGTAGAAATTGAATCAATGTTATGAATCTCTCTCTAGTAATATTCAGTTATATATTATTTGATGAAAAGCCGATATTCCAATATTGATATTTCGTTTATTTGTTCATGAATGTATAAACCCCATGCATCGTGAGTTTGTAGAAATAGTTGACTGCAGAATAGATATGAAGATTTATTTTTTATAGAAACTAGTATTAAATACTTAAATATAATTCCGTACATTTAATCTTTCTTATTTTCAATCAATATATTTTATTTGTATTTATTTTTAAATATGATTCCGATTCTTGTTGTTTTAGCTTTTTAAACCCGCGGTGCACTATTTTTTGCTAGTTCTTTTTCTGATGCACGTGCAATTGCACAGGAACGTGTCCTCTGCTATAAATAGTGCTGTTGCTATAATAATAAAAATAGAAATACGAGCTATGTTTTCTTTATTAACAGACTTATAACAGGATAAAAATTGAATTAACAAAGTAATATAACTCTTTCGTTTATCGTGTCCTCTTCTGGTTTAAATCTTTTAAATTTAAGTGATCAAGAAATAATGTTGTATCCAAAAATTCATATTCTGGTACATACAGGCAACTTTATGTCAAATGTATATTTGAGAAGTTAATAATATTTATTTATTATAAATGTTGTTCAGAGATAAAAGACTTAAAGATCCGGTAAAAAGGCTTACTAGTTTTTTGTGGTTTACACCTCGTCAGTATAAAGATCTTGGTGCTCCCTTTTACCCCAGCCATATGTTTGATATTTTAGAGGTTATAGAAATAAAACTGTAAAAATAAAAGAATTAAATGAAGAACATTTATAAAGGAGGGACAAAATATAAAGCGCGTAAGCGCCGCGTCGCTGTCTAACGCATAAGCATTGGTACGAAACCCATAGGAATGTAAACAAAATTTATACTTATTGTTAAAATCTCTATAAAATATCTGATAATTTGATGTGCATATGTCTAATGATCATTTTTGACCGCCTAATGGCTCATTTTTTTACTTTTTCCTCCATATATCCGAAACCGTTAGACCTACCTTCATGAAAATTTCGATTCTACAAGATGATCATCTTGTCAATACAAGTGAAACGTTTTTTGAATTATTCAAATCGGACGTTCCGTTCTCTTAAAAACTGAGTTACCGTTTTCGGCACTTTTTGCCCCGTATCTTCGGAACGGCTAGACCTGCCTTCACCAAAAACTAATCAGCACGTCTCCTTATCAATACAAATAGAATGTTGTTTGAATTATTCAAATCGGTTGATCCGTGTTCCCGAAATCGTCGACGAAAATTTGTATCCGCACATACATACACACACGTACATACATACACACACACACACATACATCCATTTTTTCTAAGGTATGCCAAAATGTTCAGAAACCTCTGAAACGTGAAGATATATAGAAAATTTCATTTTTGATTTTTTTGCGATTACTATAACTTGCCCTACGGGAAGTTAAAAATACACCTGTAACCTTCCGAAGGTTAAAATGTATCCGAAAATGCAGAATTCTAAACTTAATCAAAATATGTGATCTCTGAATATTATTATTAATTCCGCGGGTTTAATTTTGCGCGCCAAAGCGAAAATTATTAAAATATTCTAACGAAATTATAATGCACGCGTTATGGTATGAAATTGACAGCTTAATTAGAGGAAATTACGATGCATAGTTCGATAAACCATATTGCAGGTTATGAATAACTAATAATGTTAATTTGCTATAAATATCTAATACTATTACTTGTATTGGTTTATGTATCAATAAACAGTATATAATTCATGCGGCCTGAAAATTGAATATGATTGAAAATTTTACGAGCGCCTTGATGCACACGTGCTTTAATAAAACTTCCTAATCGAAATTGCA